AGTGAAGTGAAAAGACATTTATTCTGTCCTGTGTCAACTTGAAAGAAAGATTGTTTTACATGTTTATTAATGTACATAGCACTATTTATGCAGAAAAACAAAAGTTTGTCAGTATTTAACAAACTAATAAAGCCCTTTATTTATCACCATCTATTCCAAAAGATGTGCTTCTCTTGTAACAGGTTCCCCTTAATCCCATCAACTTTCTTTAGAAAATCTTTTTTTTTTTTATTTGAACTTCTAAGAGTCACTCTTGATCAACTTTCTGAACAAACAAGTGACAAAGAATACAACATATTAATTCAAGAAACCATATTGACCAATAACACAATGAACACCTGTTGGTTATTTCTTGTAATTTTGTCATTTATAATCAAATAAGTGTATTGCTGATTATGACGTTAAACTTCTTTGCAGTAGAATAAATTTCACTATTGGACTGAATTCTTGTTTTATAAATGTACATATCAAATAATCTGTATGTGAAACAATTATTGTTTCTACAGAGAAGAACGTGTTCTTGGAAATTTACTATAGCACCCATATATTTTTTCTATAAAACCTTATATTATAAACATCTTAATGCTACTAATTTCTTCTGCCTCACTTTCCACAAACACCTTTTTTAGAATCCACATGTCACAAAGACTTTGCAGAAGAAAGGGTCAGTCATAGGTAACTACTTCCTGCAAGACAATCCATTGAAAAGGTTTGTATGACTAACTGCACCTGAAGTCACATTTATCATCTTTGCAGTAATGGGAGGCAGATTGCAGCTAATTTTGTGTATTCATTAATTCTGAAGACAGCTGAGCTCATCCAATGTATTGGAGCAGGACAAAGACAGAGAGATGACAAATTCATCCAAGAGACACCAACCATCATGTAGAGTCAGGTGTGAAAAACAGATGCAAACTCAGGTAGGGAACATACTAAATCTATAAATACATAAAATCCCAAATACATTCATTTTTTTTAACACTTGCAGCAGCTAGAGACCTATAATGCAGATAATATTCTCAGGCTTTTGTATTCTGCGCAGCTATGATGGAGAACAGATTTGCATGAGCCTTTGGCTAAAACGTGCATGAGCTTTTGGCTAAAACGTGCATCCTCTTAAAGAAAAAAAGACGTGACACTGATATCAAAATGGTAAGTTTGGTCCCTTTACCTGAATTTTAGAGCAAAATTGTCAGTCCTCAGCGGGTGTTCAAGGTGGTATTCCTGGGTAACTCAGGGGTGGGTAAGACCTCCTTCATCCAGCACTACTGCATGGGACACTTCTACAGTAAAATGAGTGCTACTGTCGGTAAGCTTTTCTTTTATTATCACTCTCACAATGATTAACGTGCACTTCAGTGTACAAGTGCTGGTCATATAATTAGAATATCATCAAAAAGTTGATTTATTTCAGTAATTCCATTCAAAAAGTGAAACTTGTATAATGTATTCATTCATTCCACACAGACTGATGTATTTGAAGTGTTCATTCCTTTTAATTTTGATGATTATAACTGACAACTAATGAAAACCCCAAAATCAGTATCTCAGAAAAAGAATATTGTGAAAAGGTTCAATATTGAATACACCTGGTGCCACACACTAATCAGCCAATTAACTCAAAACCTGCAAAGGCCTTTAAATGGTCTCTCAGTCTAATTCTGTAGGCTACACAATCATGGGGAAGACTGCTGACTTGACAGCTGTCCAAAAGATGACCATTGACACCTTGCAAAAGGAGGGCAAAACACAAAAGGTCATTGCTAAAGAGGCTGGCTGTTCACAGAGCTCTGTGTCCAGCACATTAATAGAGAGGCGAAGAGAAGGAAAAGATGTGGTAGAAAAAAGTGTACAAGCACAAGGGGATAACCACACCCTGGAGAGGATTGTGAAACAAAACCCATTCAAAAATGTGGGGGAGATTCACACAGAGTGGACTGCAGCTGGAGTCAGTGCTTCAAGAACCACCACGCACAGACGTATGCAAGACATGGGTTTCAGCTGTCGCATTCCTTGTGTCAAGTCACTCTTGAACAAGACACAGCGTCAGAAGCGTCTCGTCTGGGCTAAAGACAAAAAGGGCTGGACTGCTGCTGAGTGGTCCAAAGTTATGTTCTCTGATGAAAGTAAATTTTGCATTTCCTTTGGAAATCAAGGTCCCAGAGTCTGGAGGAAGAGAGGAGAGGCACAGACTCAACGTTGCTTGAAGTCCAGTGTAAAGTTTCCACAGTCAGTGATGGTTTGGGGTGCCATGTCATCTGCTGGTGTTGGTCCACTGTGTTTTCTGAGGTCCAAGGTCAACGCAGCCGTCTACCAGGAAGTTTTAAAGCACTTCATGCTTCCTGCTGCTGACCAACTTTATGGAGATGCAGATTTCATTTTCCAACAGAACTTGGCACCTGCACACAGTGCCAAAGCTACCAGTATCTGGTTTAAGGACCATGGTATCCCTGTTCTTAATTGGCCAGCAAACTCGCCTGACCTTAACCCTATAGAAAATCTATGGGGTATTGTGAAGAGGAAGATGCGATACGCCCGACCCAACAATGCAGAAGAGCTGAAGGCCACTATCAGAGCAACCTGGGCTCTCATAACACCTGAGCAGTACCACAGACTGATCGACTCCATGCCACGCCGCATTGCTGCAGTAATTCAGGCAAAAGGAGCCCCAACTAAGTATTGAGTGCTGTACATGCTCATACTTTTCAGTTGGCCAACATTTCTAAAAATCCTTTTTTTTTTTTTTTTGTATTGGTCTTAAGTAATATTCTAATTTTCAGAGATACTGAATTTGGGATTTTCATTAGTTGTCAGTTTTAATCATCACAATTAAATTAAATAAACATTTGAAATGTATCAGTCTGTGTGTAATGAATGAATATAACATCCAAGTTTCACTTTTTGAATGGAATTACTGAAATAAATCAACTTTTTGATTATATTGTAATTATATGACCAGCACCTGTATATGTAAGGAAAGTATGAAAGCATGGGTCCCCTGTTGCTTCTAGGTATAGACTTTCAGATGAAGACTTTAACTCTGGGCTCCGCCACCATCATCCTGCAGCTCTGGGACACTGCAGGACAGGAGAGGTCAGATGCAACACAGCTTTACACTCAGTTTAGCGTTTTGTGGGCATCATTCATTTCTCATTCCTTTCACCAATGTCTGCTCAGGTTCCACAGCATCACTGAGCAGTACTTTCGCAAAGCTGACGGTATCCTTGTGATGTACGACGTAACTTGCTCCCCCTCCTTCACCTCTGTGCGAGGATGGATGGACTCTGTGAAGGTGAGCAGGTGGAGAAGTCATGGGTGGTTTGATGTAAAAACATGTAAATCAGTTTGTCCCAAATTTGAATACACATCCAGGTAATTGACAGTACAGAGTAAAATTAATCTCTATAGACACTATGTTAATGATAAATCTTTAATATTTCTTTTCGTTTTGGGTTTTGTTTTCCTTCTGATGTTTATGTAGATAATGAAATATCTTTCCTCACCATTGATGATTTTTGCCTTAGTTCTCAACACTGATAAGAGTGTGTATTGTAACCTGTCTGTCCCAGGAAAAGATGTGTGACGGTGCTGTGCTGATGCTGCTGGCGAACAAGCTGGACCTGGCAGACAGTCACAGCAGAAAAGTGACAACAGTCGAGGGGCAGAGACTAGCAGAGGTGAGGCACATTTGAATAGTCAAACTAGTTTCTGCTGTGATTTACTCATAGTGCCACTGCTAAGGAAGGAACATTATAATTACCTTTCAGATAAATTAAATGTTTGTTGTTTTACTTCTTGGTTTATACAGCAGCACCAAGCTTTGTTTTACGAGTGCAGCGCCAAAACTGGATGTAACGTGAATGAGCTGATGACTGATCTTGCTGGGTATGGCTTCTTATTTCTTTGCTGTATGTTCGTCACATCATCTATATACTGCAAAATGTTTGGATCTGTTGTTTTGGCATTTTGTTGGTACACTTAATTGGTCACTGTGTTTTTCACTGCAGCCAAAATACACTCAGTTACCAGTTTTTAGGTATACAGTCTAATACAGCAGCCATGTAAAAATCCTACTGTTATGTGATTGGAGTGTTGTAACCAAAAGACATTCTGTTTTACAGTGACACAAAACTGAGAAAAGTATCAAATCATCCCATTTAAGAAGCCTGAACTCACATTTGGCATTCTTGCTTGATAATTTACTTAAATGATTAATCATTTCCAAAATTGTTGCGGAGTCAACTCATCAACTAAATGTTTGAGCACTGTTTCTCATATTCAGTCTCCTATCATTGATGTAAAAGGGATGTACCTGACAAACTGGCATGTACGAATGTAGTTCATGTCATTTAGTTATTGTCATAAACCTGAGATGAAGCAAGGCAGCTGGATCAGCGGTGTAGGTCATTTTTGTTCTTGAATGTCGTGGTTTCTGCTGCACAATGATTTAATACTTTTCTTCATCTTAGGATGTTAGTGTCCCAGCATGATCGACAATGTGAAGATGCACTTTTACTGACCGAGGACACTGCTAAAAGAGGCTGCTGTACATAGTGAGAAGAGGAAAGGAAATTCCCATTTGTCCACACTATGCTTGCGTTAACATTTGTCTTTGTTGGGACAGTTAGATGGAGTAATGGGGAATGTTGAATCCCACACTGATAAAAGAGTGTTGCTCATGTCCTGAGGGCATCATCATCCCAGTGACCATCATCACAAAATGACAAAAACAGTGCCATTTTTTTTTCTCTGAACAAGTTTGCTGAACAGTATCTGTAATGTTATGTATCTTTATAATCCATCCAATAAATTATATTATAATTATTATTTTTGATGACTTCTTTGTTGTCATAGTATTTTTCAAATCTTACAAGAAGAATTGTTTTAGTGCCAATAGAGCTCATATGCGTGAGGAACCAGCTGGGGGCAGTCATGTACTCTGTTTAGCTTGTGAAGGGGCGAGCTGCCTGTAGTGCCAAAAGAGGACAGACGCTAGGGTGGGAGGCTCGGGTCTGAGTGTCAACTGAGAACTTACACTGTTGCAGTTAACCTTCAAAGACAGCAGCGCATTGACACTGGGGTTAGTAGGATCTAGGGAAGACGTTACCCCGATAATCTACATCCTTCAGGGCCCACCATCTAAAATCAGGTAGGAGTATTTTAGTCTCAGCTAAGAGGGAGAGCAGTTTTTCCATGACACAATGAGTTAAAAATAACTCCATAACCCTGATGGAGATTTTGTTTATCTGGAACATCACATATTACACATGGAGTATTTTGTTTTATGGCTGGAAGATAGCATTACATTTTTCACGTGTTACATATCACATTTTAATGTTTTATTACTTAACAGTTATTGTCCCTTTACTCTCTCTCTCTCTTGATTTGATTTTTGTTTTTTTTTAATATATAAAAAGAGATGTTCTGTGATGTCTAAACTTTGAAATCACCAGCTCCTGTGATGCTCAGAGTCACAACTTGTGTTTAAAATGGAAGCAGAGGAAAGTTCAGTTCAGGTTAGGATAAAAACAGGCTGTGTAATTCATGAAGTAAAGCGTTAAAAGTCAGCAGTGTATCGCTGGAGTGTGGGAAGATCAGGTTAAGTTACTAGGATGGGGGACATATATATCTGTCTGCCGGATGACATGACACAAGTTGTTAAGTCTGTTTTCCCCACAACATATTTGATTTCATCTGTTTAGCTCTTCCCATTGCTTTGTTATGCCAACTCTTTAAGTTTAAAACGTACCACATATAATTTTTGGTCTATTTAATGTTTCTCAAAGGTAATACATACAAAACCTTTAAAAAATAACATGTCAGAAAGCACATGTATCCACTAGTTGTGTTAGAACTCCACTCAGTAAATCACCTTTTCACAAAATGTGGAACTAAAGCAGAGTGAAAGAGGAAATTCCTACATGTATAGCTCAAGTGACCAGTCTCAATCAGATATAGTACTAACAGGCTTTAGCTTGCTGTCATGCAAATATCAAGATAGTGAACTGTGGGATAATAATCTTCACTATAGTATAAAAGCAGTGTTTGAGAGCTTGACCTGCTCTCTGAGCATCTTGTGTTAATTCCCTTAATTCAGCTGGGCCTAATCTTCTCCAGAAGGATTTCTTTAAGGTTTTGATTTGGTAATGGTCTCCTTGTGTGTACATCAACCTACAGTGTACTAACCTGTACATTTTTTATTTCAGAATGGAGGGTCAAGTTGAAAAAACACAGAGCTGTGGGACAATTTGTCTGAAATATCTACTTTTTCTCTTTAACATCCTCTTTTGGGTAAGTCAACGAGCAAGTGTTCAGATTTTCTCTGTATTTAAGACAACAAACCAAAATGATTAATACCATTAGTAGTAATAATTAACTTACAGCATTAAGATCATGCTTTTAACCAGACATTATAAAGATTGTGCTTTTACAACACTGAATCATTAAACAGCTCACACAATTTCTGTTGTTTCTTACATTTGATAAAACAACCTATTCCTTCTGTATATTCTATAAAAATATTTAATGTTTTGCTCCATATACCTAAACTACATGTAGCCTTAGTTATGCAGGAGCAAACAAATCTTCCTTACAGTCTTTACTTCAGAGAGAATCCTACAATATCGTTGTAACTGTAACAAATGTGTTAACTTTTTCAGCTTTTACTTTCTTCACTTTCATTTTCTTCCCTTTAGGTTTGTAGAGTAGAGTGAACAGTTGTTGTATAACTTACTCTGCAAGTTTTCACAACTTATGCACTGATTTATGTGCCTCAGATAATAAATACAAATTCAGCTTAATGTCTCTTGAGGCTGACAGTGAAAGAATCAGGCGTTATCTCGTTTTAGAAACTATGTTTTACCCACTAGAAAAAATTATGTAGTGCATTGTTTGATATCAGCATCTGGTTTGAATTGAGCTGATAACAGTATGTTTCTTTTAGCTTGCAGGAGGGGCTGTCCTGGCAGTGGGCATGTGGACTCTGGTGGAAAAGAGCGACTACATCAGTTTACTAAACTCCAGCTTCTACTCAGCCTCAGCTTATATCCTGATAGCTGCTGGGGTCATTGTGATAGTGACCGGGATAATCGGGTGCTGTGCCACTCTGAAGGAGATGAAGAGTCTTTTGATTGTGGTAAGATGTACCACACAAAAAACACGGCCCCTGACAGTGATTTTAGTTTTTTACCTTGGTTGTTTTATTTCACTCCACACCACTAATGTATTAACCCAATTTAATTATGTAGAATCAGAAACCAAGGAGAGAAACTTTTAGGTTCCTGTTTATATACAGACAACCTGGTCTGGATGTGCAGTGAAAGTTAATCCTTGATGACCTTCTGTCTTGTCTGCCTGCGTTCAGTGCAGCTCATTGTGTCAGACAGGCCTGACTGTCAGATATAACGGACAAAGTCATGCAGCGTGTGTCTTTAAGAGTTTAGATTTAGAGTGCGGCTCATGCCAGAGGAATGAAGGGCATCACAAGTGGCTGCTTGGACTGAAGAGTGTGTGAGAGAGGCAGACAGGCACGATGAGGGGATGTAATACAGAAGCAAAACTGCAAAAGCTCTGTGACGTTATGTCTATTTCTAGATTCTCCAGGGCCTTTGTAATGAATAACTTCCTGTACCACAGTATGATCAGTTATTCTCTGCAGTATAACTTTTATTTAGCTGTTATTAGTCATGCAAAAATACTTTCAATGCTAATGTAATTTTTACAAATCACATTTAATGTCATTTTAGCACAGAGGTGTACTGAACACCATCTAAAAACAGGCTGGAAGTGATCATTGTAATCTTCAGTTTATTCACAGCTGTGTTCTTGTTTATTTCATGTCCCTCCTCTACAGTATTTGATCTTGTTGCTCTGTATTTTTCTGCTGGAAATCATTGCTGGTGTGCTGGCCTACATTACCTACCAAGAGGTGAAGTGCTTTACCTTCTGTTTGTATGTGTTTGTATATAAATGTCAGTTCAATATAATGTCATTTTCAATATAAATATTTCCTGAAAAAACATTTTTGTTTACTACTGTAGCTACCATGCAGTTTAAGTCTGACTGCAGTAATAACAAATCTGACTTTTTTTTCTGCTTGTATTTAGCTTGTGATTTCAAACTCGATTCCTTGTCTCCATCATCTCTATTTAAATCATCTTTTTTTTTTTTTACCACCCATGAATTGCTTCAATTGCTGCCCTCTCTGCTGTGAAATCCTCTTTGCATGTCTCTCTGTGCATGTCCTTCATTTGTCCTGTTTTTCCAACCTTCTCACATCTCTCTTTCTTCCCCCCTTTTTCTCACTCCAGTGTTTCCCTTTCTGCTACCAGGTAAACTGCTGACACCTGTCACCATCTGATATCAAACTGTTTCTCTAACAGGCTGATATAAGATGATTTGTTTTCACTCAGTGCACTGTCAGTCAAGCAACAAAACTATTTTTATTTGCAAATTCATTTGAAGAATGCTCATGTGGAACAGGGAGTGGGGTCAGAGGAGCCATGCTCATATGTATTGAGTTATGTATGGGCATTGCGCAGGTACAGTGGAATGTTACAAGGGAGGAAAGAAACTTGACATGGGGCTATTTTTACTGATGGGAGGAGATTTGCAGGTGACACATTTTTTTTCCTGAGCAATCACTTAAGCGCTTCTCCTGTCGCACAGCTGGATGAGGAGCTCAGACAGAACTTGAAGGAGACAATGCAGCAGAAATACCAGCAGCCGGGGGAGGAGAGCATCACGCAGGCTGTGGACAAACTTCAGCAGGAGGTGTAAAAGTGTGGGAGAGATATTGTATGTTTAAAGCTGATTTACAGACAGATTGGCAAAAGATGCCACTTAAATGACTTCAGTGCTGTGTGTCAATTTGATCAGATAATTTTAAATGTGAAATGACATTTAGACCCTTTAGCCTGCATGTTAGTGACCACTATCTCGTCGTTTTCTTTCTTTTCTACCTCAATGCACTGGCTCCCTGTCAGTTTAAGTGTTGTGGCAGTCACAACTTCTCAGACTGGAGAGGCTGTGTGTGGATCCAGGCAGCAGAGAATGAGCGGCTCATTCCTGATAGCTGCTGTAAAACTCCCAGTGACCTCTGCGGCCGCAGGGACCATCCCTCCAACATCTACAAGGTGGAGGTAGATACAGCTGTCCATTTGGCTGTGGATAAATGTTCACTTACAACGAGATTTTAATTTCTTACCTTTCCTTGTGCTCCAAGGGTGGCTGCATTATGAAATTAGAGGAATTCTTCCTGAGTCAGTTGTATATTCTCGGTGCAGTGGCCATTGGGATTGCATTCCTACAGGTAAAGCACTAACCACTGAGCAAAATAGAGGTTAATCTCTGTAGTTCAAAATGCCAGCAGCTGACCTGTGAATAATAATTGTTTCTGTGTGCAGTGTGGAACTAACAAGTTCCTTGTTTCTTTTCTCTTTCAGCTTGTGGGGATGATGTTTACTTGCTGCCTTTATCGAAATTTTAAAGAAGAACTGTACTGATCTGTTTTTATATTCTGTGATATCCCATAATGTGTTACATCATGAATTGTATAATGCATTGTTAGGTATTTGAATGTCCCAATTATTTACACAGTTCTGGATGATGTGAAGTTCCAATTAAATTTATGACTTTCAAAATAAACACACTAGAGACACTGTAATGCTGCTGGTCAGCACCGTTCTTTTCCCGCAAAATGCCATTGCATGTTTTAAGTATCTTCCCTTTTTTTAAGATAATGATGTGTGGATGAAATTGTAGCCAAATAACAGCAGAGACATATGAGCATGCTGTGGCTACATTTGCAATCTCTGTTGGTCTTGTTGTTTATCTATTTTTTCCATGAATCACAGTGTGTTCCAAAGAGATCATTTAAAAATGAATATAAAAATATGTTTTGTTTGTTAAATTGCAAATAAAACAATTAATTTCACATTTCATATAACATACTGTATTTTCCCTGCGTTTGGTTTGACACTTCACTCTTATTCTGAAATCCTACAGCGGATGTTGTGGTCAGCTGACACTACTTCCTCCTCACGCTTTTCTCTTGCGTGCTTTCACCCACAATTACCTTCTTATTCATTTCAAACACGCTGAAATATTTCAGGTGGAGAGAACACAGAGATAAATGAAATGTCTGCCAAACCAACTTGTTTGATAGTGGCGAGTGCTTCTCCTCAAGGTGGGTCTGTTAGCTTGTATCAGTTGTATTGTTATCAGTCAGTGAGGTGTGATGAATTAACGTTACACTGTGACAGTTAACTCTGAAGTGTCTCTTTCAGTTTTGTGTCAGTTAGATCTAAATTAATGTAATGTTAACCTGCTTGCCTGCAGATTTCCCCTTTTAGCTCTCTGATATGTTTAAACTGGCGTGTTTTGTTCCTTCAGGGGTGTCAGCAAAGTCTTTCCACCAGTCCTTCAGCCTTTGTGCCTCAGCGTTTAATCTCCAGACAGCCACACCGGGGGTAAGACTAACGTTATATACTGAACAGCACAAGTGAACAATAACGTTAGGTTTCAACCGATAACGCCCGAAAGTGATCTCAGCGAGAGCATAGTGCACGTTACTCCATGATTTTTCGACACCTGTCGCCACAACAAACGTTACAAAAATAATTAAAGGTTTTAAAGTTCATTCTTGGCCATTTGTAAGTAAAACAGTCTCATCACAAGGTCCATTAGTTAAACTTAGGAGCTATGATATAACGTTCATGGAAGTAAGTACATTTACCTTTTACTTAAGTACACATTTGAGGTACTTAGTATTTCGATTTATGATACTTTCTACTAATACTATAATTCAGAGGAAAGTGTTGTACTCCACTACATGTAGCCTATTTTACAGCCTCAATAAAATAGGAAGCTTTGTTATATACTCAACTAGAGCTGAAATGACTGATCGATAAGTCTATTGACAGAAAATGTATCTTATTGATATTCCTTTCCATGCTAAAATCCCAAAATACATCATGGTTCTAGCTTCTGAAATATGCATTTTCTTTTCATTATTTTATTAATTTTGAGGTTTATACTAATGATAGGACAAAACAATTGTGACAGCAATTCTCAGCATTGATTTTTACAAGCTGGTTCACACAGAAAATCTGCTGATTAATCATAAAAAAATAATTAGTCCTATTCAAAAATAGTCAGTAAATGCAACCAGCTGCAACAGCAAAGCCCCGCTTTTATATTGCATTGACTACTTTTACTTGCATACTTTTACTTAAATATTTTAAAATCAATCACCACTGGTTAGTAGCAGCATCAGATGAAGTTATTCCAGTTGTGATGGAATTAGAGATGTTCAAATGCCCTTTTTTGGAACATTTAATCTTCAGAGGTGATCTCAAGCATGCCTGCAGTTCAGCAGATGGTCAAGTTGAGCTGTTCTTCCAGAAAGAGCTATCAGTGAGATAAAAAAAAAATGCCTTAAAGTGAGGTATCTCATACTATACATATAAAGTCTCGCTCAAAGACAATTCTCACTCTGAAATCTCATGAGAAGGCAAGTTGTTGCAGATGCTCCATGAACACAGGTCCAGGTTTAAAAATATAAATATAAAATTATCCTTTAATGCGCCTTTACTGAACTGAATGAACTTTAAGGCACTTGTTTTCAACTTGACATGATTCACACAGACATGTTTTAAACCAAAAACTAAAACCAATATATCCGTTATCTGCGTGGTAGAAGAGTAAAGCCAAGTCTGTAGTGATGTTACTGGAAATAATATTGGTTCCTTTCACAATGTGTGAACATTTTCATAATTCCTGATATAATGCCGACATCTGAGAAATCATGAAATCACGGTTTAACATAGGCTGCTGAGGTGAGAAGAGTCTTAGTGGGTTTTTTTTTTTTTTTAAATTGCAGGGGAAGCCAATAGACTTTGTTGGAGTCGATGAAAGCACAGCTAGATGGGTGCAGGACTTCAACGTGAAACCCTATGCAACACCAGCCAAACTTGAATCTATAGATGGTGAGAATTTTCATTTCATGGTCATTTGGCACGTTTTATGTGTGCCGTTTGGGCTCTGTTTGTTCAAGTCATGACCCTTTCCAGGTGCCCGATACCAAGCGCTGCTCATCCCGGACTGTGATGGAGCATTAAATGACCTGGCACACAGCGGCTCGTTGCATCGTATTCTCACACACTTCATCTCTCACCAAAGTGAGTGTGAGGATAATATTAAAAGCAGTCAGTGTGGAATATGTATGCCCGATGTAGAGACTTGTTTATTTCTCTGCGTGCAGAGCCGGTTTGTGCAGTGGGGCAAGGAGTGTCAGCGCTGTGTTGTGCCACAGAGGGACAGAGCTGGATCTTCAGTGGCTATAGCTTAACAGGGGTTAGTTTTCCTCAAGTGAACATAAAAGGTAATAAACCCAAATATCTTTACGTGTTTAATAACTGTAACTGTTTTTGCGGAAAGCCATCAGTGTTTGAGCTGGTGCGGAGGCCTGACTTTGCCAACCTGCCCTTGGTCGTGGAAGACTTTGTGAAAGACAGTGGTGGATCATACACAGGTGAGCACATGCTCATTTGGCAGAGTAAACTATTAATCAGTATTTCTAAAACCAAACTAAAACCCTTTCATGTTTGTCTCTTTGTTTTCCAGCAAGTCAAGAAGACTCTGTTCATGTAGTCATAGACAGACACCTAATAACTGGTCAGAATATGCAGTCGACCTCACTTGCTGTAAATAATCTAATCCTGCTCTGTAGTGCAAAGTAAAAATAGAAAATGGAGTTTTGTTGTTCCACATGTATATTCATTTAATTAGAGAAACACACATCTCAGACAAATATTGGAAAATGCTGGGTCAGAACAGATGTTGCGGCAACACCGTAGATAGAAATTCATTAACTGATAGTGCTTTTAAACCTACAAACCTAATAAAAAACAATCAAATGTCTTGATTTTGAGCATATGTAGTTTTTATGATCAAAGCCAGAGAAGCATCAAAATGTTTATGGGCAACTGAGAGCAAAAAAAAGCAGAAGATTTCTGGAGTTGGACCGAAGAGATGATGCAGATGTTTGTGGCACGTAAACACTGAAGGCCTCAGCACAAGAATATAAACCTTCATTTAAACTCCAAACATATTGATGAGCATGCACCCTCTGTTGTTGAATGGAGATGTTACTAAACTCACAACATACTGAAGTGTCTGCTGCCATTGTTTGAATCAACAAATCTCACGTGTTCATCCAGACAAGATTTCTAAACGCTTTCATGACACTCAAACAAGTTGAGTATTAACTAAATCCTGTCAACAGCTCGTTTCAGAGTTCATGTCACTCACTCAGAAACGAAAAACAAAAATAATACCTGCATATTTTTTGGTGCACCATGTTCAGGGAAAAAGAAAACAAATCCATGTGCTGATGATCCAAAATCAGTTTTCACTATCAACTCTCATAGGAGATCATAGAAATAGTCCAGTCCTTGTCCCAGTTCCCATAAGGAAATTCCTGTTCCCAGTTCAGTGGCTAAAGAGATCCTCAGGTAGATTGACTGTAAAGTAATGTTTATAATGTTAATCTCCTCATGAAGGTGAGAACATCAAAACAGTTAATTAAATGAAAGGCAGTTCTTAAAATGATCTACATTGCTCCTTGTCTTTACTTAAAAACACAATTTGAAAAAAAAAAAGACTTACCTTCAGTGTTGGATAGTACACCACATGCTTAACTGCATTGTTCCTGACATGAGTGAATGTCACAGATGTTAAAAGATGCTGTGGAAAGTTTAAGATTTATGAACTAATAAATAATTTGTTCACTTCAAGTGTTGTTAAATCAGTACCTCTTGTAACTGAAATAATGCTCTCCAGAATATTCATCCCAGAGATGTTTTGGCCTGTGTTCTCGCAAAATCTCGATGTACCTGCAGGAAATCAAGACAACTTTTCTCAATCAGCCTTTCACTAGGACTTCTCTTTGCTTCTTGCTAGTGTAAAACACAAAACTTCCTGCCACAATGATAAGTGTTGATTTTTTTCACATGGGAGATTTCAGTATTTGTGTCCCAAACTTCTGACTGTTTATTTGGTCATAAATATTTTATGCTGTAGAGAAAGAGTTTAATAATTCTCAGGGGCTTTAAAGGGGATCTCTGACTGATTTTTTTACACATTAAAGTCTGTTTACAGGTATTAGGGAGTTTTACTGCGTATGGGGAAAAAAGTTGTCTAATGCCCTTTGTGCTTTATGTAATCTAATTAATTGCCTCAAGTAACTCACTTGAGTGACACTGGTTGGGGCTAAAGACTACATGTTTGAATATGAAAAAATCTGGGGGTGTGCAGTTAGAAAGAAGTGAGCCTACCAGCCCCCTATTCTGCTCCTCATCGCTGAATTGCTGAAGCTAACAAGGCAACATGAGCTGCTAATAGCAAAACACACTTGAATCTCCAACCTAACTGTCACCAAGTCCAGTTGCATTGTGGGTTATTTAGATGCCATGTTTTGACAAGGAATATATGTCTGGTTCTGCAAATATTTTGGTCATTAAAAAAAACATCCATTGTGAATCTGTTGTATTATTCAGATTCATGAGTTATATTATATCTATAGATCTATCTATTATATGTTTAGCAGCAGTCACAGTATTATCTTACCTTCCTCCCAGGATTGGCTCTGCTCCCTGGCTTGCAAAATCAAGGCCATACAAATTGAGTCCAAGCAGGATCTTTTGCCTCCATTGAGTGTTGGGAGCCAGCTGGAGAACACAGTCTCTCACCCAGGGAAGGGGAGAGCTCGGGCCCGGTCTATTAAAAACCGCAACAACAACAAAAAAACGGCACATAACTCAGAAGATTGTCCTTTTGTAATTGTTAGTTACTCTAATTTAACTACTGAAAACATCTCCATTTCTTTCACAAAGAGGACATCACTGGTCTGGAACACTCACCTGGTACCACTGGAGTAGTCATATGTCATGAGGCTGAATCCGTCGACTACAGGGGCCAATTGTTCAAACTCCTCCCTGCTAAACATACCTGGCTGCCCTGCACTGATAATAATGGAAAAGCAAAAGGAAAGTCAGCTCCAGTTTCAGTGTTTGATTGTTTGAATTTCTGAACTTGTTTTGAACTTGAATTTCCCTCTGGATAAATAAAGTATATATCTATCAGTTGCTGACAGTAATTTACCTTGTCACAGGAGGTGGAATGACTAGAATACAGTCTAATCTTTTAGCCTTCAAAATCTCACATATGTGTTTGACCAAATGGACCAGCTCCCTGCACGGAGAACATTTAACATGTTAGATTATTTGTGTCGCCCTCTTGAATCATCCCCGACAAATAAATGATGGTCAGAGTCATGATACAAATGTGTCAACAGAATAACTCACTTTCTTTTGTTACCTCCCAGCTGGCTCCACAGCTCCAAGGTGAAACCATCGAAACCTTCAGTCTGCAAGGCCACAACTTCAATAGACAGGCACAGGAACAAACAACACCGTTGCAAGGGAGTAAAAGCTAAATGCAACAATCACTTACCTTTGCAACATCCACAAGCTCACTTCCCAGCTCTTCAATTTCATCTTCACTCCCCAGCACAGTCATGTAGTCCTGGTAAGACCAGCCATCGAATAACAGCCGAGGCACTGAAGGTAAAGAAAACAAAGCAACTCAAATAAATTACCAAACAATAGAGGCGCATGAGTCTTACTTGTGGGCAGGGGGAAAACATCGACTCACCCATTCTGACTTTTTTATTAGACTTGCGTACAGCTTTGACCCAGCCTATAAAGATGAAAATACCCCTTTATGTACATTTACAGTCATTTGTGACGACACTTGCATAATTGCTTAAGACTAGAAGACACTTTCCACTGTCAGTGGTGTGGGTCCAGTACCTGGGTCATGATCATGAAGTCCCGTAACATCAAAGGTTTCAGGTCCCCGTCGGCGGAGCTGAAGCCACACTGGAGACAATGAAGTTAGTTTGGAGCCGAACATCTTGGCAACGTCATAGCCGTGGGCATTCCACTGAATGATGACAAAAATAAGACATCAAGTCAAAACAACCTACACTAAAGGAAGTCTGTCGAATACAAGCTGTAAATTGATATCCTACTCACACAACATTGAGTAATTTCTAAAGTGCAAGAAGTAGTAATTTAAGTTGTTTATTAATCTGCCGATCATTTTCTTAATCGATTAGTCGTTTGGTCTATTAACCTTCAGATAATAGTAAAAAATTCTCATCACAATGTCTCCACGCCAAATAAAAAATGATGTGTTCAAATTGCTTGTTTTGTCCAACCAGTCTATAACCTACCGATCTGAAATTTCCTACATAATGAAGAAAAGATCTTTTCTGTGGAGAACCTGGAATAATTTTCTGCTTGAAAAAGTAGTGAAATGATGATGATTACCAAAACAGTTGCTGATTCATTCAGTCAGTCCATTTATCAAATAGTAGCTTCAACTCTACAATCGTTGGTCTTTTAAGTATGACCTGTTGGTGTGCAAAGAAACACAATCCAACGAAAAAACAAGGATGGGATTTTGCAAAAAGCCTAACTTTGGAGGATAACCACTTATTTGGCTCAACCCTATCTTTAAAAGATGTCTTGGCAGCCAGTTTGAGGAGGAAGAATAAATACGACGAAAAACTCCTTCATGTGAGTATTGCATTCTGCATCTATCCTTTAATTCTGTGGTAAAAGTGTTGTTAAACAGGAGCAAGGGAGCACAAACATGTTGGTGACTGGATTTAAGACTTACAGGTGTGACATATCCAAGCACTTGTCCTTGAAATGTTCTCTTGATGTGAGCACAGTGTCGCTTCTCCTCCTTCACTATGTCTTTCCATTGCGGGTCTGAGACAACAAGGCCTCTCTCCAACACAGACAACTCAGAAGCAGATGTCTGAAGAAGTTAGATTAAAAGATAAAAGCACATTTCAGTGGCATATCATCATCGTCGGCATGAATGGACAAATGACAGGTGGGGGATAAGGGCCTCTTCCTTATTCTGCTAAATTCAGTTAAGTCCCTAAGTCCTGTGACATGCCAGGCCAACAGAGGAGGACTTGCACGAGCTGACAGCACACACAGCTCACACCAATTTCAAGGTAAATGCTTAAAGTTACTCACCTCAGACTCAGCTTTGTGCGACTTCTTTGCATCAGTTTTTGAAAGAGTGGCACTGCCCAGCCAGCAGTATGAGATGGCGTGCAACAGGAAGAATGTCGCTTTCATTCTCAAAAAAAAAGTGAAAAAGGAGTCGCGAAGCAGTTAAATAAAAATGGGTTAGCTCTGGTATGCAGCTTTGCAGTGCAAATGCTTCCTTGCTGACTGAGACCTGGTAAGATTAAAAAACAGCATATCCTCCTTTGGTTTGAAGTCACACAGAGCAACGAGCCAAAACGGCCCCGTTCATACTGCTAAAACATACAACCTGAATTTATATCAACAAATCTTCGATTTGACTGCTGAGCGGTTGGTACCAGTTTGATTGACAACTTAGCTCAACGTGTGTCTGGATGGAGATGGATAACTTCCGCGTTGTATGTTTTTCAAAATAAAATGTGTCTGTGAGCGAGTCATCTGAACAGATAGGTGGCAGTGTAGCTACCAAGCAAGCAAACACAATAGAAGAAGACGACGTCAGTCAAACAAACCCACTGTAGTAGGAGATATTACCACAATTCTTCCAAGTTGTCCCGCATGATTAACATTTCCTTTTCATTCTGCTGCTCTTCAGGTGTCTTTTCAGATAGTTAACATTAACGGGTGAGTGTCATTGTCGCTTGCTAATTGTAGCTTAAAGTTTGAGTGCAGCGTGTTTAGCAAGCTAACATGTTAGCATTTCTGGAAATGAGGACACTTGTCAACATAAAGCTTTAACATACATAAAATGCTAAACTGTTTCTGGTGTCACGTATTGCCCTTAACGTTAACTGCAATGAAATAGAATAATAATGCACTAAAGGCAAAACCTGGGTCTTTATATAACAACATGTACCGTATTGTATTAGATGAATGTTATGGCCTGTGAGATGCAGTGGAGGATTGAGACAATAATGTAAAAGATTCCACTATTAAAAGCCCTCTATTCAAAGTAGTACAAGTATGAAATTGTCAAAAGATATATAACTCATCATGAATCTGAATAATCCCAGTGTAATTTTGTATTAATGGATTATTGTTACTGTGTAACGTTATGCAGGATTTTATGTAGTAGCTGCGTGACAACGCAAATCTGTATGACTTGAAATAACTCAATGGATTTGTGCTACAAATAAATACAGTGGCCTCAAAAGTACAATGTTTGCCATTTAAGGTGAGGAAGTATAAAGTAGCATAAAATGTAAATGCTTAAATCTGAATGTTAAATCTTAAACGAACTTAACGATCTTTAACATCATGTTTTATCAGTTAAATTCGACCTGGTGTGTATAACATTAAACCGTAACATTAGTAAGTAAGTAGGACCTCTTCTTGTTTGTCTGTTGTTTATAGCTTAAGTGAACTGACTTTTTGTATCTGTGCTGTAACACTTATCTTTTGGGTCTTTTTTAGTGAGTGATGGCGATTGAACAATTTGTGTCAAAGACGCTCGAGCTTCTGCAGGAGGAGAGGGAGGCTGAAATAGAGGAGACCCGGTATGTAAAATAACATACAGGCTGTGATACTTTACTATGCAGACACCAGCAGGTTTGCTCTGCACTTAATGAAGTTTGGACACTTGGAAGAAAACAGAATAAAAAAGAGTGGTCAAAAATGTTAATGTGAGTTTTAGCACCGCGTATGGGTCAAGATCCAAAAACACGAGATACTACACTTCCCTAAATGCCACTTGATAGCATCTCCCTGCCAGGGAAATGCCCACGTCTTTTAAACGCCAACAGGCTTTTTGTTTTGAGTTGGATAGAGTACAAAACAAACAAACAAACTGACAGTGGACATGCACATCTTGTTTATACTAAATTGGGTGTCTACATTTACAGAAATGTTCATAAATGTTTGGTGGTGCAGTCATACATATAAGGCTGCATGTGGATTGTCCACATGACTTCAACAGACAGGTAAATGATCTGGGTGCAGCCATGCGAAAAGTAGAAATGACTCCTCCAAGGCCACAAAAGATATACAATGTTTTTTATAGGCTGGGTAGTAGTATTTAAAACAGGGAAACCAACCTTTTTATGAAAAAGTGGTGAATTTTCCCCCTTTTCTATAGAGAGATCATGGTATGGTTAACAACTAAGACAAGCCTTTCGACTTAATGAAAAAACAATCTTATTATTTATAGCTGTCCCTATAAAATGTCTTTGTTTGTGCCTTCAGGATATGGCAGGAAAACATCTCTCTCAAGGATCTTCAAAATAAAGGAGTTTGCCTGCTGAAATTGCAGATAGGAAGTCAGTCCACAGGTCTCTATGGTCGCACAGTAGTCGTCCTTGAGCCAAGAAAGCATCTTGGTTTCTTATCTCTGCCAAGCAACAGCTTTGGACCTGGTGAGATGGAAGAACAAAACATCTCATCTGTAGGTTTTTTTTATTCGTGACTTTGGTTTCATATTTTGCTTTATGTGATGTTTATGTCTTTTGTTACAGGGGACATAGTTGGCTTGTACGACACCGGCGGATGCACCGCAGCCTCACAGATCGGCACAGGAATAGTGACGAGGGTCAGCCAAGCTTCTGTAAGCGTGGCCTTTGACGATTCTAAGGGTGGTCTCAGCTTTGATACAGATGCTCTTTACAACCTCTTAAAGTTGGCAAATGACGTCACTTACAAACGAATGAAAAAGTGAGTGACAAATGTAATACTCGCTCTTGTCTGTACAGATCATGTAAGATGGATACAAGTGAGTTATAAACCCTTGAAACAACTTATTTTCACTGTGTTTTGTGCTTACAGGGCCTTGAATGAATTAAATGGATACAGAAATGGACCAGCTGCTAATCTTATAAATGTTCTTTTTGGAGAATCAAAACCTTCGTCTCAATCACAGCCAAGTAAGTCACGTTTACAAAGTGAATCATATGAAACAATGGGCCCTCTATGAAATTGTGCTTGGCGGTATAGCTTATTAACATATTTTTCCCACTGATTTCAAAAGTTTGCAAATCAGCATGAATCATAAATACACAGACTAACACTGGGTATTCTATTATGTTTCATCAGATGAAGTGGAGTTCTTTAACTCAAACCTGGATGATTCCCAGAGAGAAGCTGTGTCCTTTGCTTTGTCTCAGAGGGAACTGGCTGTGATTCATGGACCACCAGGCACTGGGAAAACTACTACAGTGTTGGAGATAATCCTGCAAGCAGTCAAACAAGGCCAAAAGGTGCAGGAAGTTGATTTCTATTAGTGTGTATGTGAATATTTAATTTGGTGTTTATTAGTTTATTAAGTATTTAAATCCATTCCAGCTCTCAACATTATCAGTACTCATTGTTCTTACTACTTTTTGTTCATTACACTTCTGTCACCTACAGTAGTATACTATTATATACTATTTGCACATTGCTATTTTTATATTTACATCTCTATATTTTCTATATATATTATTATTGCTATTTCTTTAATGCCTTGGTTAGTAACGCCAGCAACTGTGACAAAACAAATATCCCCTCTGAAATCAATAAAGTATTTCTGATTCAGATTTATTCCCCCACATTTATCTCATTATGTCATTTGTTGCTGTAGTTGCAGCATCTCAGTCTAGACAGATTTTGTGTTTGTGCAGGTCCTGTGTTGTGCCCCCTCTAATGTGGCTGTGGATAATTTAGTGGAGAGGTTAGCCTGGTGCAAGGCGAAGGTCCTGAGGCTGGGTCACCCTGCCAGACTGTTGGAGTCCATACAGAAACATTCACTTGACGCCATCCTCGCTCAGAGTGACAACGCAAACATCATCGCAGACATCCGTAAAGACATTGATAAAGCATTTGTAGGTATTTTAGTGTATGCTCCTACTAGTGTTTGCAGTGGTCTTAAAAGATTTATAATGTAATATTTTTTGTGAAGATGGGAATGAAGAAGCGTGAAAAAGGAGAGCGAGTGAACTTCAAAAGGGAAATAGGGGAGCTAAGAAAAGAACTGAAAACCAGGGAAGCAACCGCCATCACCCAGATCCTAAAAAGTGCTGATGTTGTGTTATCAACCAACACAGGTCAGTAATGGCCTCGAGTGAAGAAAATGTAGTTCAGTCGTTGCAGTGATGATGAAAGGCAATCACAGAGCACTTGTCTGCGTCCGCAGGTGCTTGTGATGGCAGCCCTCTGAAGTTCCTGCCTGAGGCGCATTTTGATTGGGTGGTGATAGACGAGTGCGCTCAGGCCCTGGAGAGCAGCTGCTGGATCGCCCTGCTCAGAGCGCGCAAGTGCATTCTGGCAGGAGACTACAAACAGCTACCACCTACTATCAAATCACAAACGTAAAAAACAGGTTTTCCTCTTTTTATACATTCAAAGATAAATAATATTGAAGATTTAATTTTTTTTTTCTCTATAACTGAAACATTTTCCTCAAAGCCCCTTAAAACATGTCTGAAGTTTTTACATTAAATATTTGTGTGCAAGTAAGAAACCATAAGATTTAAAGTTCAGAAGAGGGCATCCTGAGCTGTTATTTTAGAGCTTAACACTCAGTAACTCTGTGTCGGTGTGGTTTGATCAGATTTTAGCAAAAACTGGAATCACGTTTTGATGATATCCTGATTGGTGCACAGCAATACATGATCTCACCCTTTTCCTATTGAGCCCTGCCCATGTCAAACCAGTACGAAGAGCACAGACAGAAACCCAAATACAGAAATTGCTGATGAAATAAAGAAAACTGTTCTAACTTTGGCAGAAAATGTGTGTTCTTGTTAGGACCCCATGGGTCTTAGCAAAAAGCTGACTGAGCTGAATATGTTTTCAGGGCGTTTTATAGTCTCATGTTGCATATAGTCTTTTTGTGCTCCACAGGGCTGCATCTAAAGGCTTGTCTCTCAGTCTTATGGAGAGACTAATCCAGATGTATGGGGACTCAGTGGTCCGTATGCTAACAGTTCAGTACCGAATGAACAGTGCCATCATGGAGTGGGCCTCCAAAGAGATGTACCAAGGAAGACTAACAGCTCACAGCTCTGTAGAGAGACATGTGTTAAAGTGAGTGTGAGCTTGGTAATGGGAAGTTTCTCACTTCTGTGTTTCAGCGAATGATAACTCACTGAAGTAACTGTTAAAAATGATGTCCTTGATGTAAAAGAGATCTTCCAGGAGTCGCCTGTGTCGAAGAGACCAGCGCACCGTTGCTTCTTATCGATACTGCGGGCTGTGGTCTGAGTGAGATGGACGTCACAGATGAGCAGTCCAAAGGCAATCAAGGTTAATAATTTTTATTATAAAAAACATCATTTATTAAACTTAGGTTGTTGTGGTAACTAACAGTATGTTTACTTTATTCTCAGGTGAAGTAGACATTGTTGAATTGCACATAAAGGCCTTGACTGAAGCTGGGGTTAAAGCTAAAGACATAGCTGTTATTGCTCCGTACAATCTACAAGTAAGTCACTGATTGGAGTAACTACACCCAGCTGCTACTCTGTACTGTGTCAGCAAAAAGCAAAACTTTATTTTCCATATTCCATAAATAAAAGATCTACACTTTCACAGTAATAAAAAATAAAATTCCCCAAAATAGAAAATGTAACATTAAACTAGAAATTTAGAAACAAGTGATGTGTTTTTAAATGTTTTTATCCCTGTAAAGGTCGATCTACTGCGCCAGAAACTGTCTGCGAGGCACCCAGAGCTGGAGATAAAGTCAGTGGATGGGTTTCAGGGCAGAGAGAAAGAGGCTGTGGTGTTGTCATTAGTCCGGTCCAACAGAAAAGGTAATGTTTTTTTTGCTGGGTAGTTGGGCCCTCATCTGCCACACCATGAATGTTTGTAACATTCATTTGCATAAATATATTTATTTTATTTTAGGGGAAGTTGGATTTCTGGCAGAGGACCGAAGGATTAATGTGGCTGTTACACGAGCGAGACGTCACATCACTGTAGTGTGCGACACTCAAACTGTCCAGAATCATGCTTTCCTGAAGTCCCTGATCGATCATATAACTGAGTTTGGCGAGGTGAGAACAGCATTTGAATACATCCAAGACATCGTGCCACAGAACTACACCCGCGACCACAAAGACACCAAGGCTAATACGTCTGCCAGCAGCTCCACAGCCAACAAACAGAAAGTGAAAGATCAGCCTCCCAGCAAGGCGAAGCAAGAACAGAGGAAGTCCACTGGTAGCAGCAGTAATGAAAATACTGCTAATACTAAGTATGCAAAGTCCAGCATAACAACACTGACAGAAGAAGAGCAGAAGAAGAACAGATACGCTGAGATCAGAGAGCAGGTGGAGAGCTTTCTAAAAGACTTAAATCGGAGTGAACTAGAGTTTCCATCATCGTTTAACTCTCATGACCGCCTGCTGGTCCACCAGGTCGCTGAGGAGCTGGGCCTCGTTCATGAGAGTAAAGGCGAGGGTAAAGACAGGTGTATCACTGTCTCCAGGCCCCTGGTGTCAACACCAGCTGAACAGCCAACACAAAAGGAGGAGGAAGAGGAGGAGGGAGAAGAAGAAGAGGAAACTGTTGCAAATCCCCAAAGACAGACACTGTGTCAACCACCATTAGACCTGAAAAGTTTACATTTGGAGCGGATGAAGAGGGAGCAGCAGAAAAGGGAAGAAAATGCTCAACAAAAAAAGCAACAGAACATCCCACCAGCTCTGGCCCAGTCATCGAAGAAGCCCAAGTCAGTTAAAGGTTTGTAGTAAAAACATCCGAGTGTTTTTTTGTTTTTTAAAAACTTGTGTGCTCTGATGTGTTTGCAGTAATTCAAATGTGCCGTTTGTCTCCTAGGAAAGAACCGAACGAAGGCAGGCGCCTGCGACATTGCTGCTGCCGCCGCTCCAGATGATGACTTTGACACACTTATCAACGCTGTCAGGAAAGCTGAGAGTGTGTGCAGTTTTGTGAAGTGTAAAGCTTCAGTGCTAACACTTGGACAGCTTTGCCCGTTCTGCAACAGACAGTATTGTCTCAGTCATCATATACCAGAGGTAAGACAGGAGGATACCGCTTGCGAATAGTACTTGTTTTGGTTGATGTTTAGACTATGTGGCCTTGACACACCTGATTTGATTACTTGAAAATGCATGCTTTTAACCCTTTTTAGGTTCATGGCTGTGGAGACAAAGCCAAGTCTCATGCTCGGATGAGAATAAGCAAAGAAGGCGTTCTTTATGCCGGGAGTGGGAAGAAAGACAAATCCATGGACCCTAATAAGAAAGCCTATCTGCAGAGGAAACTGGACTCTAAACTGAAAGATATGGCATCACAGAGGAAACCAAAAAACAAAGAGGACAATTAATGATACCAGAACAACTCTATACATTTCAGTTCTGAACACGAATAAACAATTCAGATGTTTCACAATGCTAACAGTCTAGTTTGACTGAATATACTATATGTTGCCTTTCTTAATGTTCATTGGATACACTGTACACTATCATACAATTTGCTAGTGAATTTCATGAGTGCTACATGGATTCATTATTTTAACTACTATATTTAACAATTCACTTATTTTTGTCAGTTATGGCAGCTTTAACACACACACACATTCAGTGTGTCATGTGAGTCATGTGTCTACTGTTGGTGAGTTTACTCTACATCCACTGTTATAGTCTGAGGACTGATTGTCAGCGGGCTGGAGTTTTCCCCATCTTTGTTCAATCCAGGGGAGAAGTATGGGAAAATCCTCTCTGTAAATCTGTCTTTGAATGTGTATATTGTTGTCATATCAGCAGTGTTGATGAAGACCACCTTTCCTTTGTCATAATCGAGCTCTACGGTAATCCTGTCAGGCTTCTGCTTCAACGTGAGCTTGGTGGGAGGTGTGGTCTTAGCCCAGAACGAGTCTCCATTGCACAGGCCGATCACCCAGAAACCCTCAGTCGGTTTGAGGAAGACGACCGTCTTCCTTTTGATGGACTCCTGGGCCACTCCGATGTACCAGTTTTTGCCTTGGCCCACATCTACGGTCCAGCTGTGCTTTCCAGATGTGAAGCCGGTCGCTCCCAGCACACACAGACAGTTGGTGCAGCGTTCAGGGTTGTCAGGTAGTAGCTGCTTATTGCTGTATTGTACGCAGGTCAACTCTTCTGAGAAGTTTAAGTTGGACTGGGCCGTGTTTGGATCGAAAGTGATGGGAACTACAAGTGTAAACAAAGTACAGTACGTTGAGCGTACTTCATAGTAAACTTCAGCTTTGTTTTACATTGTCTGTTCACCCACCATATGTGACGATGTTCGCCATCTTCCTCCAAATTCCAAACTTCAGCATTCTCAGATGCTTTGCAGAGTTAATCAGGATATCTCTGATTAACTCTGGCTGTCGGACGTTGCATTTGACCCTGAAACGTGGAAAGAATTACAACATTGTTTTATGGAGGCAGTTAGTGCTAATTTTAGCAGAAAGTGAGTCATGCTTACATTTTCTTTGTCTGCTTGTAGTCCTTAAGTCACAGCAAGAAAGTGAAGAAATGCATCTTGTTAACACAAGGTCAGATGTGTGGTTATATATACATTGCGTGTAGGTGCAAGCTTATTGGAAATCGGCACTGTTGAAAAGAGTAACACCTGCACACTGACTCTGAACAATTAATAGTTAACCACTATGTCATCAGAGAGCCCACCAGCCTATTGGTGTATATTTTGGAGTAGACTGGGATTTAAATGTCCATTTAAATAAATGTGTTGTTTGGAGTTGATACAGGTGTTACTCTAATCATCAAAGCTTTGAGAAATAATGTTGTCTAACTAATGGCTGTAAATCTACCTGTAGAAATTGTAAATCGTTTGCCCTGAGGGCTTTCTCAGTATCGCTGATGGTGGACGAGAGCATTTTGATCTGGTCCTCGATGTTTTGCAGCTTCTCACACATCACCTGGGTCTTAATGACCTCTTCCTGTTTGAGCACCATCAGTCTTGCGTTTTCCTCCTCCCATAGAAACCGGTGTAGCTTCTCAAACTCCTCTTTAATCTCGTTCTCATTTTCATGAGCTTGGGTCTGTAATGTTGAGGGAGGTGGTTATTCATGGCATTAAGGAAGTAAGGAATGTTTGATGCTGAGGAATTTTTCTCTCTGGCTGGAAGTGAATTTAATGAGTCACACCATGAATGTAGCTTTTACCTGGATATAGTTTTTTGTTTCCTCCCAGTGCTCCTTTGTTTTGTTCAGTGTTCTGAACTTTTTCTTCAAGGACTCCAGCACGGCTGAAATTTCTGTCTGAAACATTCAAAGAAGAATCATGAGTTAAACTGGAGTTGAAGCAGTGAACTGATTAACTGGGGTTCAATTCCCCACAGTGACACGTCCACCAATGTGTCCCTGAGCAGGACACTTAACCCCTAGTTGCTCCAGAGGCGTACAACATTTGACATACACTCACCTAAAGGATTATTAGGAACACCTGTTCAATTTCTCATTAATGCAATTATCTAATCAACCAATCACATGGCAGTTGCTTCAATGCATTTAGGGGTGTGGTCCTGGTCAAGACAATCTCCTGAACTCCAAACTGAATGTCAGAATGGGAAAGAAAGGTGATTTAAGCAATTTTGAGCGTGGCATGGTTGTTGGTGCCAGACGGGCCGGTCTGAGTATTTCACAATCTGCTTAGTTACTGGGATTTTCACGCACAACCATTTCTAGGGTTTACAAAGAATGGTGTGAAAAGGGAAAAACATCCAGTATGCGGCAGTCCTGTGGGCGAAAATGCCTTGTTGATGCTAGAGGTCAGAGGAGAATGGGCCGACTGATTCAAGCTGATAGAAGAGCAACTTTGACTGAAATAACCACTCGTTACAACCGAGGTATGCAGCAAAGCATTTGTGAAGCCACAACACGCACAACCTTGAGGCGGATGGGCTACAACAGCAGAAGACCCCACCGGGTACCACTCATCTCCACTACAAATAGGAAAAAGAGGCTACAATTTGCAAGAGCTCACCAAAATTGGACAGTTGAAGACTGGAAAAATGTTGCCTGGTCTGATGAGTCTCGATTTCTGTTGAGACATTCAGATGGTAGAGTCAGAATTTGGCGTAAACAGAATGAGAACATGGATCCATCATGCCTTGTTACCACTGTGCAGGCTGGTGGTGGTGGTGTAATGGTGTGGGGGATGTTTTCTTGGCACACTTTAGGCCCCTTAGTGCCAATTGGGAATCGTTTAAATGCCACGGCCTATCTGAACATTGTTTCTGACCATGTCCATCCCTTTATGGCCACCATGTACCCATCCTCTGATGGCTACTTCCAGCAGGATAATGCACCATGTCACAAAGCTCGAATCATTTCAAATTGGTTTCTTGAACATGACAATGAGTTCACTGTACTAAAATGGCCCCCACAGTCACCAGATCTCAACCCAATAGAGTATCTTTGGGATGTGGTGGAACGGGAGCTTCGTGCCCTGGATGTGCATCCCACAAATCTCCATCAACTGCAAGATGCTATCCTATCAATATGGGCCAACATTTCTAAAGAATGCTTTCAGCACCTTGTTGAATCAATGCCACGTAGAATTAAGGCAGTTCTGAAGGCGAAAGGGGGTCAAACACAGTATTAGTATGGTGTTCCTAATAATCCTTTAGGTGAGTGTATATAGCAGTTGTAAGTTGCTTTGGATAAAAGTGCCAGCTAAATGAATAAATGCAAAACTAATCTTATTTGTGTGTGTGTGTGTGTGTGTTTCATTGTAAACCAAGATTTAGAATTAGATTTAAATTTAAAGATATCACCATGGAATTTGTGTGTTTATAACTATCTTTTAACATTTTACAGTCTAAATGATAAATCGATTACTTGAGAAAACAATAGGCATATTAACCAATGCAACTAATTGTTAATTGCAGCACTATTACATCTCCTTAACTTAAAAAGAACAACAAAGCTTTGCGCTCACGTGTGACTGATTGAATTCTGTGTCTCATGTGTTGGAATGAATGTACAGTAAATCCCCAGTTTCTATTTTTACCTTTTTCTGTTGGGCCGCCTCCTCTACTGGGCAGCACTCGTGAACTTTATGCTGTTTTGATGTTTGGCAGACGAGACAGATGGGCTCTTCGTCATTCTGACAAAAAATAGTCAGCTTCTCGTTGTGAAGGGAACAAAGATCTTGATCCCCACTGGTCCTTTGGGTTTGAAAATTGTCTGCAGCTATCTTCAGTGCCAAATTGATAGGCGGTCTCCCAGGGACACACACAGTGCCACACACAGGACATTCGCGGCATCCTTTCCATTCCCAGAATTTCTGTAAACAAACTCTGCAAATATTGTGGCCACATTTTAGGAGAACAGGAAGGCAATAAATCCCAGAGCACTGAGGACAGTGTAAGTCTTTTTCATAGAGTGAACTCGCTGCTTCCATTGTGGTTGAAGCGTTCCTGTAAAGTGTAGTCAAACTTCCTTCCTGCTCTTCAGGTGCAGCCGGTAGGTCCAACCCTGAATGCTCTGTAAATGCTGGCAAACTAGTACAGCTAGTTAAATAGGCTTCAAGCATTCCACATATTGTATGTTGAAACTGTTTCTGTTATTGTCATCGGTGCAGACTGACATTTACACATAATGTATACAATAAACAATACAAAATAGTCAATAGCAGCACTAGGATAACACTTAAATTCACTTTCAGTGCTCTTTATTTTCCATAATGAAATGTTTCCATATTCGATACATTAACAGGGTTTGACTCAATGCATAAATATATTAACAATGCACTTTGGTCAGACTCTAAATCATTGAAATCATGGTTATGTCAACACGATGTCTAGAAAAACATAACAATTCTACATGTATTTATTTGTTATTAATGCATTAATCCTCTGAGGAGGGCAACGCTTAGAGGCAAAAACAGAGGTAGTTTAAACCGTTAAAGATGAGTAGCTGTACTGTGAATAAAAAGTGTAGATAATATCTGTGCTTTGCAAGAGTTGTACCATGACTGTAATATAGGTAAACAGACTCAACATTATTTTGGAAGCGGTGACCTCAAACAAGAACCAGGTGAGGTCAAGTATTGATGCGTTCTCAAAAATGAGAACCGTTAAGTGCTTGTGCAGTAGAAGTAAATGTGTCCCTCTTCTCATGCTGACAACTTACTCGCATGTTAAATGAAGAGAGAGAAAACTAAATACTTCATTTTTTAAAACAGTACAGTACTCTGTGTGTGTGTGTGTGTGTGTGTATATTCCTCAAGTTTGATGAAACAAGTTTATTACTTTGCTTTTATTATGAAGTTTCAAAAGGGGTTAATAGTATTTATTTTAATGATTTTGCCCTCGCAGTACAAAGCATTCATCCTGCTTTGTCTCACAGCCTTTGTAAACTTAAGTCTCCCGAAAAATAAATTTACAGTATTTGAAGAAAACCTACTGTATATGGAAAAACCAAGAGTTTGACTGATATATGCCCCCCCTCCCCAAACCACAATGTCTAAAGTTAACTGAACAAATATATAAGGAATATTAGTGATAAAAGCCACTGAATATTAAGAAATACTATAACAAAAAATTCTGAAATAAGTAAATACAGTTACATGGATACATCATTTGATGTAATCCAACTTTGTTGCTTGGCATTGTAAATAAAACATGCAACAATAACTGATGTGTTTTTTGGCGTTCTCCCCAAACGCCTATGCAAGTATATAATCTCATTCTGACTACTGTGATTTTACCAAAGAAATAATATTTGCATATGACTTCAAATATGAAGGCACTACATTAAATCATACTGCGTGTATCTCCTCTACATAATGATTTGTTTAAAGTGTGTGTGATTGGTCAAAGAAAATCCTTTCCCAATAGTTTCCTTCTTAACAGTATTTGACCTTAAATTGCAACAATATTACGTTGATGTCAGACTTGAGAGTAAAACATTCCCAGAAGCGGACAGAAAAGGAATTCATATGAACACAACGTGTGTTGATCCTGCTCCTTAATCTCTGTGAATAAGGAAAATAAAAGCTGTATGTACCGGTTTTGTAAAGACATACTAGTTTTTGAATGGTTAAGAGATTTTTAGTTCATTTTAGGTTTTACAAAACACCTCAAATAAATCGAACTTTCAAAACAAATTAAAGGTGGGGTCTGTGTTTTTAATCCAATACACGTTGTTTTGTCAAATATCTCCTCGCGGTCTGCTAGCTGTCACGCGCGCTGAAAATAAATCCTGTGTTTGTACCATAGACTGTATGGTTTGTACACAGCTCTGTAATTGGGAAACAGACAAAGTGGCTCAGACAGAGCCACACAACACATTCAGCTGACTTTCTAGTTCTCCGATACATGCTGCTGTTGTGATATTAGCTATAGTAGCAGGAGAGTTGTGAGTATGCTTTGGAGCTGTTGTGACGTTAACGCTAACGTTAATTACAGTATTGCATTACTCCAGAATCGCTTACCCCACCTTTAACATGAGAATAGTATGTACATGTATACAACAAAAAATATACCATGTATGAAATAAGTTAAATTCAGAAATGGCTCTGTGTTCTGGTAAAAAACTAAATTCAGAAAACTGTTGAGTAAAGAACAAGTGGATGTTGTGTAAAAGGTCATGTGAGAAAATGAACACCAAACCCTGTGACTCACATTACTGACATATCACTGACAATCATTTCATTCTAATGCATAAAATAGCAAATACAAGTTACACTCTTTTCACGGTCCATAATTCTGCAACAAATGGCCAGTCATCCGAGACAATGTCGGTTCGTTCCCCCTCAGCTTATATTGAAATGTAACACTCTGTTATACCTCCTCAGTCACCTGTAACTCACAAACTGATGTCTGTCAGTAAGATGGATGCCTTGATTGTGTCCTCAGAGCCACACTGTGCGACACTTTGGGTTCAGTTCAGCATCCTCTAAGCAGAGCAGAGAATTATTACTCCTCAGACATCTTCAGCACATCCTGAGGCTGCCTGCTTCTCTCAGCTCAGTCAGCAGCCTGATAGGCTTCACGCTGTGTCTGCAGACCCGATGCACAAACACAGCCTCACAATCACACGAATCCAGGCTTCATAGAGGACTTGAAACATTTAGGACAACCCTTTGTCCCGTTTGTCTGCAGACACCTGAAGGGATAAAACATCCAGTGTCAACTGCTTTATCTGCCAGCCTGTAAACATGTTGAAATAAAGAAATACACAGATTAAAAAGTACGTCTTTAATAAGTCTAAATCACTTGGATATTTTTGGAGGCAAAGTTTTGTATGAAGAACATCAAAATCATACTCAACGAGAATGTGTCAAAAACAATGAATAGTACGCTGTGCTAGAACACTCACTTAAGATGGAAAATGTGGGAACAGGGTAAGGCCTGCAGTTTTTGGTCCCTGTCCCCGATGGACTCTCCACACATGCCGCAGTAAAGCTCCAGCTCCTCAACACACTGCAGGAACTTCACCACCTGCTCTCTGAGCTCCTCCTGCTGCCCCCGGCTCCGATAAATCCCTTCACTCAGGCAGTGAACCTTCAGTGTACTCAGCTTGAGGTACATATCAGAAAAAGGCTGTCAGTGTGACATGTACACTCTGTCACCCCAGCTTGTATGATTTACACAACTTGTGTGTGGGGAGCGGCAACTAATTTTTCATCATTTTTGCTTTAAAAAAGACGAGTTGTTCAATTATCAAAACGGTTTAATCTGTCTGCGCTACCTGTGTGATCTGTAAGGAACATCAGTTACCTTGTTTCCCATCCCATCTGCCAACTCCTGTGCTCGCTGCAAAGAATCAAGAGCCTGGAAAATAAACAGAATGTGTCATAATTAACATTATTTGAGATTTATGTCAGACATATTTTGCATGTGAGATTTATATATAATTATAGGTACCTTGTCATATTCTTTCTGCAGGAGCCAACACTTTGCAACTCCCAGGTAGACATGTGCTTGTCCAAGACGGTTTCCAATCTCAGTCATGATACCCAGTGCAGACTCGTAGCGAGGGAATGCTTTCTAGATGGATGGAGAGAAATAATATAGATGTCAGAGCAGTAAACTGTTAAAGAAAATCCTCTGAAACATATACAGTGAGAAAGCACAGAAATATATAAACCAATGATAAAATCTTAGTGTTAAGCCTAATAAGTGCGCACAAATAGCGGGGACTTACATCAACATCACGCCTACAGCGGTGTATGTCTGCAAAGTTTAGTAAGCACAGAGCCTGCAGAGGACGGTCACCGTGCTGCAGAGCAATCTTCATTGATTCCTGTAGAAGTGCAAGACAGGTGTTTAGAGGAGAGAGGGGTCTGTCTGACCCCCTCAGCTGTGAAACCAACCCTCTGCTGAAATCTAGTGATTACGAAAAGCTACTTTACAAATGGCATGCATTTATTAAACTCAAATTCATCCTCAGCACTGCTCCATTGAATATAGTTTATGTCTGTTTATCATTTTTATAATAGCTTTTATTTTAAGGTATATTGTCTGTTATGTAGCAGAAGGGAGTTACAAATTCAATTTCACTCCTGTTATATTGTCATAAATCTACCTTAATTTAGCAGTTTCTGTATATTTTCAAATACGTGATGCGAAACATGAGACGTTTCACCTTCAGGAATCCTGTGGACCTACTCTGGTATTGCAAATATGACGAGATGTGTAAATTGTTTGTTTAAGTGCGTTTGGCAAATGTAATAAATCTGAAATGCATCCTGCGGTCTTGTTACTATGCTTTTGCACTCCAAGGCAATGACATCAAGTTATTTTTCACCCTCAGTACATTATTAGAACAGAGCGAAGACTAAAGCCACCCTCTTCATTAACACTTTAAACCAGCGCCTATGTGAGCATATTTTTGTCCAGGTCTGCTGCAGCAGAACAACTGGTGCTTGCACCTGTCGGCTGCACAACATCTACTGTATCTGCAGCGCAGACATCAGAACAGCCGAAGGCATCGGGGGACAGCGTCTTTGTGAAGACACAAAAACTGTGACATTCTCCACAAGTTATGCAAGTTTGTTTTTGTGGGATGAATCCCGTCTCTGAGGATATTCACTCTGTGTTGGACGGTTACACAACAATACCTCACAGCACTCCATGGCGTCTGGGAGGCGCTCCAGTTTCCTGTAGGCGACTGACATGTGGTACTGGCTCATGGCTCGATACTTGAGGCTCCAACCCTTGCCGTAGTCATTGACGAGCTCAGCTGCTTTGCAGGGGAAGAACAAGGCTTTCTCATAGTCCTGTTGGCAGAGATTATTGATGAGTAAGACCTCTGATGGCTAATTATTGCCCACAAGTGGCAGTGTCTAAGTCAAGCATCCATTTTGGGTTGTAACAACACAACCATTGACCATATTCAACCAAAGAATCTTTTAGAAAATTTGTATTTTTTATATATGGGTCTTCAGTATTATTAACAGG